GGCCGCGGGCCCCGCCCCCGAGCTCCGCGCTCGGCCAACCGCAGGGGCCGCGGCGCGCGCGCACCGCCTCCTCGGGCCGCGCGCCCAATGGGAGCGCGATAGCGGGAGCGGGCGGGACCCTACGCTCTGCCCTCCAATCCGAGAGAGACTGGGCGGATCGGTATCCAATGGGAGAACGTGGGGGCCCCGGGGGGTGCTGGGAGTTGTAGTCCTGCCGCCGGGGCCAGGCGGCGGGTGGCAGCGCCAGGCGGKCGCTGCGCACGGCCCGCTGCTCCGCGCACGGCGCGTTCCGTTGCTCTGCACACGGCCCGTTGCTCCACACACGTTTATTGCACCTCTCKGGGGCCGAGGCTGCCATGCTGTGGGCTGCCCACGGCTGTCCTGCCCATGCCACGCTGCTGAGCGCCGTGATGGCGCGTGGCGCCGCCTGGCCCGCTGTGTGCCGGGTGGCCCGGTGCYGTGTCCCAGGCCACGGTGTGCGCCCGGCTACCCTGCCCTGTCCTGGCCGCCCTCGCGCAGCCCGCCCGCTGCTTCGTCCCCGCGCGTCACGTCCACGGCRGTGCTCTGCGCTGCTCGCTGCCCAGCGCGGTGCCCGGCTCCGCCACACGGGCTCCCTCACAGCGCCGGGGCGCCGGCCGCCGCGGGGAGCACGGCCTCGCCGGCCTCCTCCTCAGCGCTGTCCTCTGCCTCCTCCATCTCCTCCTCCTCCTCCTCCTCGCTGTGCGAGTCGTCRTAGAGGCTGAGCGTGGCCTGCACGGGGAAGCTCTGCAGCAGCCTCTCCCCGACGCTGTACAGATAGTCGAAGGACTTGGACTTGGGCCAGAGGAGCCTGCGCGGGGAGAGCGGCCTGAGCGCGGGGCTCATGGGGCGCCGTGGGGCCGGCCCCGTGGGGCAGCCCGCGCCGTGGGGCCGCCCGCGCTGTGCGCACAGGACCTACTTCACGGGGTGCTGGACGAGCGGCAGCGCCTTGCAGCCCATCGCGGCGTCCCCGCTGCCGCCGTGGCGCTGAGCCTGCAGAGACACAGCGGCCGCTGGGCACCCACAGCGGCTCTGCCGCGCGGCGGGGAGGGCGTGGGGGCAGCAGGGCCCATCTGCACCTGCCCCGGGCAGGGAGCGACCCCAGCCTTGCGCAGGGGGGAACGGGCGGGGAACACAGGACTCACGGTGTGCGTGTGCCGCGCGGGCGCCTCCTCGGGCCGGGGCAGCCAGGGTCTCCAGAGAGGCAGGGCTCTGGGGAGGGCAGGCTGAGCCCGGCCGTGCGCCCGCAGCGCCCCTGCGGCTGCCCSGAGGTGTCCCGTGCACCACGACCGCAGCGCCCATACCCACTGCCCCGAGGTGTCCCATACACCATGACTGCAGCGCCCCTGCCCGCTGCCCCGAGGTGTCCCATGCACCACAACCATAGCCCCTGTGCCCATTGCCCCACGGTCTCCCATACACCATGATCGCAGTCCCCGTGCCCGCTGCCCCGAGGTGTCCCATACACCATGACTGCAGCATTCCTACCCATTGTCCCAAGGAGTCCCATACACCACAACCACAGCCCCTGTGCCCACTGCCCCAAGGTCTCACATGCACCAGGACCGCAGCCCCCATGCCCATTGCCCTGAGGTGTCCCGTGCACCGTGACCACAGCGCCCACAGCACCGGTGCCCATTGCCCCACGGTCTCCCATACACCATGATCGCAGTCCCCGTGCCCGCTGCCCCGAGGTGTCCCATGCAGCGCCCGCCGTACCTTGTCCCTTGGAGCATCCGCTGCGCCGGGACGGCCGCGGCCACGGGCAGGCGTCGCGGGGCGGCAGCTTCCATGGTGGCAGACGGAGGCGGCAGCAGTGTCCCCTCCGAGGGAGATGTCCCCTCCGAGGGCGCAGGCGGCCTTTATAGCCCTGCCCGGGCTGGCGGTGACGCACAAGTTCTCGAGGGCAGCGGCAGGGCCGGGAGGGCCGGGGGTGCCCGGCAAAGCGGTTCCCCAGGTGTGAAATTTGTCCCAGTTGTGTAAACAGCAGCGCCGGGAGGGGGCTGGGAGCAGGGGGCTGCAGCCCCCGCTGGAAAAGCAAAACACAGAAGGGAAAAGTTGGACACYGTTTGTGAGAAAATCCCCGGGGGGGAGCAGGGGCGGGCAGAGACAATTAACGAGGATGATTAAGTGCTCTAGGTAGCCGTTTGCATAAGGCAGCGGCCGGGGGAGGATGTGGGAGCGCGGGGGCAGCAGGATGGGCACCCAGGGGAYGGTGCGGGGGCAGCAAGGGGACAGTGTGACGGGCAGTGGGGACASAGTGGGGGCGCGGGGCGGCTGCAGGGGCGGCAGGGCAGCGAGCGGTGGCGGCGGCGCCTCCGCTGAATCCGTACAGAGCGCCGCGCAGCCGGCTCGCCGGGCAGCGGCCTGCGAGAGCCCAGCAGCGGCTGCCCCGAGGCGGCCGGCACGGGGGCTCTGCGCACCCTGTGTCCCGCTGCGCTGCCCGGCTGTGCCGGTGCTCCCTGGCGCGCGGTGCCGCCCGCCGTGGGTGTCCCCAACCAGCAGCACCCGCCGGGAAGTGCTCGCCGTGATCAGGAGGCAGAGGCCTCTCCAAAGCTGCCGGGCGACAGGGGCGTGGGTTGGCGGTGGCGGAGGGAAYGTGCCCCACGCGGGACGTGGGGCCTTGGCCTGGGCAGCGCAGCCCTCCCGCGCACAGGGGCAACGGGGCCGCGCCGGGCAGGGCAGGGCGCCTCGGCACCCGCCTCCAGCGGCTCCGCAGGGGCAGCGCGAGGGCCCTGGCGCCCCGTGCACCTCCCCACGCTGCGCGGCACCCGCTGCTGAGAAAAGCGGCTCCCGCAGCCCGTCCCGGCGCGGGCAGCAGCTCCCCACGATGCCGGGAAAGCAGCAAATGGTCGCGGCAGACGCCGCGCTGCCAGCGGCCCCTGCCCAAACGCGGGCCAGGCCGCCGCGGCCCCCGGCGCAATTTGTCGGCGGGGGCCCTGCCTGCCCCTGCCCATCTGTGGCAGCCGCGGCGCCGGAGGGGGCCCGGCGCGAGCCCGGCCCTCATTACCCTCCCATTTGCTCCTCATTTGGGCCAGCAGCCTTGCGATAACAAACCCTGCGGCGGCCAGGCGGCGCGGGAGGCGTGTGCCGCAGCGCGGGGCGGCCGCGCGGGCTCGGCAGCGGGTGCCCGTCCTCGCCCCGGCTCCCCTGCCTGCTGCCCCCCGCGAGCCCCCCGGCCTGCACCTACCTCCGTGCAGAGGTGGGTGTCGCAGCTCCCCGACCCCGAAAGGGTTTAGTTGTGYGCTGCGCTAAGCCCCTGATCCAGACTAAGATTTGTGCATGGATTTTGCAAAGCCGCAGCCAACGGGTCGCAGCCCTTTATCCCTCCAGGCCGGGCCCCTCGCGCTGCCCCCGTCCCGGGGGGCCCAAGTCCGCGCGCAGCCCCGCTCCCCGCCGGCGGCCGCCCCATAAGTAGCTGTAGCAGCGCCCACGGGACGGGGCACGAGGGCACGGGGGCTGGCTAGAGCTTGGGGAAGGAGGCCAAGCGCTGGGGCCGTTTGGTGCCAAAGGCCTGCGGAGCAGGGCAGGTGCTGCGGCTCAGGCGGGAGCGTTCCCAGGGGCGAGGGCAGCGGCGCGGCGGTATCGGCGCTCGCCCCGTGCGCTTTCGCAAGACGCCGCGGGATGGGAGATKTTCAAACAAGGTGAAGGGCAAAACAAACCTCCCTGCTTGGCAGCGCGCGCCAAAGCCCGGGGCGCGCGGGGGCAGCGGCGCCCGGCACGCAGAGAGGCGGCAGCGGCCCCGCCGCCCGCGGGGAGCCCAGCGGGGCCCTCACCAGCAACACCGCGCAGTTCCCGCTCCCTCGCCGCGGGGTTACTGGGTTCCCAAAGCAGGCGGATGAACTCGCAGCGGCAGAGCGGCATTCCCACGAAGCGCAGAGCGCCCCGCGCGGGTCCGGGCCCCGGGCCGGGCGGCTGCGCGGGAGGCAGCGGCGCCCCGTGGGGAGGGCAGCACGGCGCTAGCGGGGCGACGGGGGCCGCGCGGGCAGCGCCGCTCTGCCTCTGAAGTGGCGCCGCGGAGATAGCGGAGGTGAAAGGGCGCTTGGCGCTCCTGCCCAGGCGCGGGTCAATCGTTAATCGGGGAGGGATTGCTTTCCACTCTTCCAGGTAACCTCTCCTCCCCCCGGCTCCCACCCACACGCCGCTGCCCGCACAAAAGCCGCGTGCCCGGCCACGGGGTGCAGAGGAGCCGCTGCGCAGGCCATGGGGAGGCAGGAGCGCTGCCCGCGAGCCGGGTGAGAGGCGGCGGCACGGCCGGGGGACGCACGCCGCYGCCATGGTCTCCACGGGGCTGCAGCTGGTGGGCTACGCCGTGGCCTTCCTGGGCTACGTGGGCACGCTGACGACCACGCTGCTGCCCAGCTGGAAGATCAGCTCCTACATCGGCTCCAGCATTGTGACAGCCGTGGGCTTCACCAAGGGGCTGTGGATGGAGTGCGCCACGTACAGCACCGGCATCACCCAGTGCGACATCTACAGCTCCCTGCTCAACCTGCCCGTGGATGTGCAGGCGGCGCAGGCGCTGATGGTGAGCTCCAGCGCCGTGTCCTCCCTCGCCTGCCTCATCGCCGTCATGGGCATGAGGTGCACCATCTTCATGCAGGGCTCTCCGGCCAAGGACAGGGTGGCCGTCATGGGCGGCGTGGTCTTCGTGCTCGGCGGCCTGCTCTGCTTCATCCCCGTGGTCTGGAACATCCACGTGGTGCTGCGGGATTTCTACAACCCCCTGCTCCCCGACAGCACCAAGTACGAGCTGGGCGAGGCGCTCTACCTGGGCATCGTCTCCTCCCTGCTCTCCCTCATTGGCGGCCTCATCCTCTGCGCCTCCTGCCCTCGCCGGGACTCGCCGGACACCTACCACAGCACCCACCAGCCCAGGCTGCTGGCGGGCAAGAGCCCCCGGCCCTCCATCAGCCACACGCTGAAGACCAAGAGCGATTTCAACTCCTACAAGCTGACGGGATACGTGTAGAGGGACCTCGCAGCTGCCCCGGCGGCAAGGTGGGACCTGGCCGGCACGCGCCCCGGTTCCGCAAAACCTCCGTGCCAGTGCCGAGGGCGGCCGGCAAAGAGGGGAGGCTGCAGCAGAACCTCTCGTGCTCTCCTGGGGGGGTCCCCAAGCCCTCCCGCCGAGAGCCTTGCGACTGTCCGGAGATCCCAGCTGACTGCGCCAGCCGGTGCGAGCCCCCCGTGTGACTGCTGTTACCTGCATGGCCCCGCGTGCGCCGTGTGCAGGGAGCTCCGCTCAGGAGCGCGGCGGTGCCGGCGCCCGCGCCCGGGGACGCCGCGCGCTGCCGCTGCCCCGCGCTGTGCGGCGGGGCCCCGCTCGGCCCGGAGCACTCGTCCCGAGGCGGCGTTGCAATAAAGCGGTGTTTGTAGCCGGGCTGTGTGTGAGCTCCCGCCAGCCCCGCGCTGCAGCAGAGCCCGGGGACACCCCAGAGGGACGGGCTGACTGCCCACGGGCAGCACAGTGCCCGGGCACCGCASAGGGGGAGGGAGCAGCACCAGCAGGTCTAATCTGGCCCTCCCTGGCACTGGGTGGGCAAAGGGGGGCAGCGAGGCGGTCCTGCCCGCAGGGTCTGCGCCCGCGCTCAGGCCACTGGCACTGCGGCCCCTGGGCACCTGGCCCCCAGCATCGTTTCTGCTGCAGCCCTCAGCACTGTTTTTGCCCCAGCCCCTGCCCTATTTCTCCCCCAGCACCTTTTCTCCCCCAGCCCCCTGCCCCATTTCTCCCCCAGCCCCAGCAGGGGTCTCACAGGGAGGGCCAGGCAGGGAGGCCCCTGCTTTGCCCCGTTCCCTCTGCCCACCCTGGTGTCACCCGCAGGGCAGCTGGGCGCACACGCAGGGGAGCTCCCTGGGGAGCTGCTGCGGCTGCAGGTGTGAGCRGCCCCCAAAGCGCCCAGGCGGCCCCGCGCACTCAGCTCCATCCGCACYCAGCGCTGCCGTCCCTCTGCCCCAYGCCGGGCTCCTGCACGCAGCCCTCATCCCGCCCCACGCCGGGCTCCACGTGCGGCTGCCACGCGGCYGGGCACATGGGCACGCAGATCTCGCTGCCGCGCGGCACATGGAACCCCTGGCACCCGGCGCCCCCACAGGCAGGGCACACTCGTGACTCCACACTGTGGGAAACCCAAAATGAGAGAAAATTCAACACCACCACAGGAGCCACGGGCYCTGCTCGCCAAGGGCTCTGGGCTAGAGGGGAACACGGGATCAATGAAAGGCTCTCCCGTGACCCCAAGGCGGCCACCTCGGGCAACGTGCGGGCAGAGGGGCAGCCCGTGCCGCCCCCGCGAGGCCGCCAGCGCCCGAGTGCGTCAGCAAGGCCCCCACTGCCCTGCCYGGCCGGGCCTCGGCCCCACCGCGGCCCCTCGTAAAGCAATTTAGATTAGGCGCCGCAAAGGAGGGCACCGCGTTCGCGCGCCGGCGTCACGGCTGCCATCGTTAACCTTGCGCGAGCGAAAGGGCCACCTGCGGGCGCTCCTGATAGTGGCGTGAGTCACGCTTTCTCCCCTCGGCGGCGGGGAGAGCCGGCCCGCAGCACGGGAGACGCTCCCGAGCGCGGCCCGCTGGGACTTTGGGGGCGAGGAGCGCTCAGCACCTCGCACGGCGCCGGCCGCGGCGCGGTGTTTGCCCCAGCATCGCTGCTGCGGGCGCGAGGGAGCCGGGGCTGCCGCCGCGCGCCCGGCCCTCGCTCAAGCCCTTCAGCGCCCAGCGCTTTCTGCTTGGCAGATGATGCAGAGGGGAGGCTTGGAAATAGTTGGCAGCGGGCGCGCCGCCTCCGCRCGCCGGGAATGCGGGCGCTCGGCCCTCGCCGCCCGCCTGCGCCAAGGGCTGGCAGCGCGCGGGGCCGCGAGGCTTCCCGCCGAAACAAAGGGCGCCTGCAACCCTCGGCGCTGCGGCTGCTGCCTTCATTAATGCTTTAATTCCAGCATCAGGGAGAGAGTACCCGTTTTACGAGAGCTGGCACGCGTTGCCCACGGCGGAGCGGGGCTGCCAGGCGAGGGCAGGCGGCGCTCGGCACAAAGCTCCGCTCGAGGGGAGGCCGGAGGCACCGAGTGCACGCGGGGCTGCAGGTTATCCCCGGCCTCGCCCTGCTTCCTGTTGCCGAGATAAACAGGGTCCCTGAGGGCAGCTTGGAGGTGGCCCAGCCCTGGGCGGGAGCCGAGGGGAAGCGCAGGCRGCCCCGCAGCGCCCTCCCTGCCGCAGGGCCCGGCTCCTCTTTGCAGGCGGCGCCGCAGCAGGGCCGGCCCGGGGGAGCTTGGCGGTACCGGCTCCTGGAGCCGGGCGGTACCGCTGCAGGGAGGCCACGTTGCTCCTCCRCGGTGCCTCTCACCCCGGTGCTTCCCCTAAGGCGCTCGAGCTAAGTGGGGTTCGTCCCTTTCCCGGCAGCACAGCCATGGGGGAGCGGAGGACACAAGGGACACACCTGGGACACAAGGGACATGCCTGGGACACGGTGTGGGAAGCCGAGCGGAGCCACCAGCCTGGGGGCAGCATCTGCGGAGCGGGGAGTCCTGAGCCCATGCCGGAGGCCCAGGGCCTCGCTCCATTCCCCCTCACGGGGAAGGAGTCCTTTGCCRCTCACCTCCCTGTGCTGAATGGTGTCGCAGATGAAAAGGGGGGGCAATAAAATATTAATGTGCCCTYATCTTCAAAAGCAATAGAGGCAACTATAAACTTCTGTGCCCAGCGCACAGACAACCCCAGCCGCACCTGGGCCAGGGGCTGCCACCTTATCAAACGTCTGCGAGTGTCACGTCACCCGCTCCTGGCACCGATGCCCCAGGCTGGGGCACATGCTGCTCATTGAGGGTTTCACGCACGGCTTGGCTGCTCCTGCTGCCCTCAAGACTTGCGGCCTCCCCGTGTCCCCGCTGCCTCCCCGGCCCGGCGCGGCGGCAGCTTCCTGCTCCCCTGCCCTGCTTTGAGCAGGGGGACCCACGATGCCCATCTTCCCAGGGACATCCCTGTCCCCAGGCGGGCCGTGTACCTCCCTGGAGGCCACGCGAGGCCAGTGGAGTTTAGCCCTGGAGCTCTGCCTCAAAGGGGAGGCACGTGAGGCATGGCCGGGGCCGTCACTGCCCTCAGCGCAGCCCACAGGAGGCACTTGGACAAGCAAAGCAGGAGGGGAAAGAAAATTCAGGCCAAGTTCCTCATGGACTGAGGTATTTGGAAGCAGCCTCTGCATTCCTCCAGCCTCTGCCCTTCTCCGAGCCACAGCCCACAGCAAGCACCCAGCTGCCTCCCTCACAGTGCCCAGGAGYTTCCCAGCCCCTCCACAAACCTGGGCTGCCCTTTCAGAGGGGCTTGCAATGGGACAGCCTCAGCAGGACGTACTGGAGTACCCTGGGGACAAGGAACCATTGCCCTCTCACACAAGCCAAAGCTGCAACCCCACATCCTCCTCCCTAGGGGCTCAGAACCACCACTGGCCTCTCCATAACTAGCACGCTCTGGGAACAATGGGGAAGAACGAACTCCTCCCACCCCAGAGAGCTTCTGAAGTTGAAGGAGTGGAGGTCACGCTGTGGAGACAGGCTGCTCTCAAGCTGTTCAAATCATAACTCCCTGGCTGCAGTAGGCAACAGTCATGTCCTATATTGGTGGAAAATGCACAGAGACCCTCAACCCTAATTGTGCCCCAGACCCCAATTTAACACCAGTCTTGGTGGCCATGCTCAGAACAGTTGTAGCCCACAGAAGCTCACAGATTCACAGAACAGTTGAGGCTGGAAGGGASCTCTAGAGATCATCCAGTCCAACCCCCTGCTCCAGCAGGGACACCCAGAGCACRGGGCACTCAGTCACATCCAGGCGGGTTGGGAAGATCTCCAGAGCAGGAGACTCCACAGCCTCCCTGGGCAGCCTGTGCCAGGGCTCTGGCACCCTCACAGGCAGGAAGTTTCTCTTCACCTGGAGATGGAACTGCCTGGGTTTCAACTTATTCCCATTACCCCTTGTCCTGTCACTGGCCACCACTGAGAAGAGCTTGGCCCCTTCCTCCCTACATTCCTCCTTCATGTATTTATACATATTAATCACATCCCCTCTCAACCTTCTCCAGGCTAAACAGACCCAGCTAATTTAGTCTTTCCTCATACCAGAGATGTTCCAGTCCCTTAATCATCTTTGTTGCCCTCGGTTGGACCCTCTCGAGAAGCTCTACGTCCCTCTTGTCCTGGGCAGCCCAAAGCTGCCCCCAGTGCTCCAGGTTTGGCCTCCCCAGAGCTGAGCAGAGGGGCAGGAACCCCTCCCTTAACCTGCTGGCAACACTGGCGTGGTTTCATCTCAGGGTGTCTGTGCACACTGTTCAGTTGGCAACCACATTTATCCTTTATTTCCAAAACTTTCCTGCCCTCACAAAAACCTGGGCACAGTTTGTCTCAACTCACAACTGGGACACTAAGGCAAGACTGCGAGTGACCAACTGCTCTGATTGTAACGGGAGACCTCGCAAAAGAGGCCAGGTAGTGAGAAAGCAGCAAAAGGGGGCAGGTGTTGGGGTCTGGAGAGAAAATATTGCCCTCTCCTACAGGGGCAAGGAGCCAAGGGAGACCCTGGGAGAGGCTGAGGGAGCAGGCAGTGATACAGGAATACCCAAAAAACACCCTATCAAGGCCACAAAGTCACCGTGCACCCAGAGCATCCTGGCTTGGGGAAAGCAAACTGTGGGAATTAAAACCTTTAAGATGCTGACAGTAAATAGTTTTGCATCAGTAAAATTTACCTGGCATTAGGGAGTGCAGGGAATCCCATAGGATATCACACGGAATCACCAGCAACTCCTCTGGCCCCACACTCAGGCATGAGAGGAAACAGCTCTGGCACCCAGGCCACATCCAAGGAGCGCTCCAAGCAGGGCTGCCGGAAAGAAGGAGCAGCAGCTCAAAGACACAGATAAGATAAGGAAGGAGGAAGAACTTGAAAGAAAAAGGAGGGAAATAGGGCAGAATGAACTGCACGGCACAGCAGGGAAAACTGACCTTTGGGTAGTGCTGAGGAGCTTGCTGAAAGAGGAAGCTATCAGGAGAATTATGAAAACTATTTGTCTTRGAAAGGTGCGTATTGTACCTGCGAGGAAGGCAAGGAAGTTTGCTCTTCAAGTCATTACGTTAACTTCACAATCATATTGCCCTGTAATTTGGGTCTAATCTGCACTGGGGGAGTTTCAGATCAGTGATATCGGCAGCCCTAGCACACGTGCGCCCTACAG